ATCATAGGCGGCTGCAGGGTCGGGCATTTAGGGGCAATGCCCGACCAAAAATTCTGACCGGAAGTGTGACATCACCATAATTAATAGTTATTCTATGGTTAATTAATAGTTAATAACAGTTATTACAATTATAATTTCAATTTTTTATGAAAATCTTATAATTATGAATGCATAAATGGCAGGATGATAACAAGGTGATGAAGATTAAGAGAGACTAAATAAAGGAGGAGCTCGAGGTGGTAAGACTTTGGTGCCAATCACAGTGGGCCACCACAGCAACACTAGAAAGCATAATCATTTCATTATTTAGTGCTATTTCAGTGTTCTTTTCTTGTCAGTTGCAATGTCTAAAAGCCTGGACTAGCTTCACTATGTCCTTTGTGAACAAGCCTGCTAAAAAGGAACAACAGTTTACAACTGAAGTGAACCTAGTAAGTATAGTATAGAAGTCAATAATACAGATTATCTCATAATTCTTACTTTAGGTCAGTTTCTTGCTGAATCAGTTGATGATCATGAGTCTCAGTCTACTCTTGTGGTTGATACAGCTACAGTTTTTTTACAGCTACAGTTGATGTACAGTCAATTATTGCTCATTCTCCATCACCCTATTCTTCTACTTCCTCTACTAATACTACTACTAGTACTATTACCACTACAGAAGTCAGTGTTGGAGCTACACCACCCACTACTTTATTACAATAACCTTCGCTACCAAAAAATTGTGCTAAAAAGGGTGCGTAAAAGAGGGTGTGGCCAAAATTGCGGCGCGCTTCGCGCGCCCAACCCATTTCCTGTGCCACACCCATGCCCGACTAGTAGTCAAATCCTGCAGCCGCCTATGGTCCTCTGGTCAAGATAAGGTCCTCTAAGAAGTCTGGTATACGGAAGCCCCTAGCGACATTCCCGTTCACGTTCGCATCTCCGTACTACATTCCCGTTCACGTTCGCGAGCACGAGTTCACGCGTGCGCGTACGCGTGCATGCACAAACTCCTCCCACTTCTCCCGCCTACTTTTTACAATCATTATCACATCACGTTCGTGGTGAAACGAGTAAACACGAGGCTCCTCTTTTTCAGTTATCCTTGCTCCAATTCTCCTTGCTCCAGTTCTTTCTCTCTAATAATGGAACCATCCCTTGAAAGCTTATTAAAAAGATCCGGTATCAGCAGTAGCACAATCACTGTGCTTGAAAACGAAATGATTATAAGTGAGAGCATTTTCTTTGGCCTGAGCAATAGCCACTTACAGCACATCCTCCCAAAAGTGAAAGTTGGACAGCATGTGTTGCTGACAAAAATTTGGAACGAACATTTCAAGGTCCATAGTTTGCACATTTTTGGCTTTTGACTCATTTTTTTATTATAGGATTATGATGGCTTTAATCGAGCTCAAAGTTTGTCATATGAGAGTAGCAGCAGTGTATCACCTTCACGGTCTCGCTCTCCTTTTAGTCCTGTGTCATCTGCAGCTGAAAAGCCAATGTCTCCAAGTAAGTAAGCCAACTACTTGGCCAGCAGTAAAAACTAGAGAGTCAATTCCAGTTGTGGGTATGGTAGTACAGTAGTTAATTATAGACCTTTCTCACAGCGTGGAAAAGGTTTATAGCTTTGTAAATAGCTTAAATTAGTCTAACGTTAATAGTACTAATAAAGTCTATCTCACTGAATGTGTCTTTTATATTGTTTACTTTTAGATGATGATATTAAAGATCTGGTACAGTTGTACAAGACCAATGCAGTTTCAAGATTTAACAAAGGTAGCGGCAGCAGTAGTCAAAGTGGAAGTACAGCTAAGAAACAAGAAACCAGTGTGACAACAATGAAAGTACTTAAAAACTTTTTGTACAAAAATGAATGATTATTTGTAGATTCTATTGGGAGGAATGGTATATGATGTTAAGAAGGGAAAAGGCATTCGTAGGAAGTTCCTACCAGAACCAAACCCCACACAAGTGGAGTTCAACAAGAGCGACACACTCTTAGCTGTCTGTGAAAAAGCTATTGATCTTTACTATAGGGAATTTGACATAACAATGAGTGACGTATTTATATGTGATTCTTCAGGTGTCATAGTGGAATGTGACTTACAACAGAAGCTATTTGATTACTATGCTGTCAATGGTTATGTGCCAAGTAGGCATAAACTGTATACACTTGTTAAACTAGATTCAAAGGTATGTTATATGATGACACTGAAAATAATTTACGTATACTTATACAGAAGAAAGTTGAAAAGGTGCAAGAAGAGTCTGTTGTAAGTATATACTAGTATGTAATAGTAGCATTGATATTTATTACTTCTAATAGAACAGTAAAGCAGGAAACTTAGAAGGACATCCTCCTAAACCTTCATTTGGTATAAAAATTAATAAGAATAAATTGATAATTATTTATATTTCCCTCTAATTAGAAGAAACTGAACCAGTCATTAAGTGCTGTATTGAATGTGGACGTAATTTTAGGACTTTCATTCCTGACACTTCTTGCAACTTGCCTGATGGAAGTTGTGTGGTGTATACTGAGCCACAGCTTACTTGCCCATTGTGTGACCCTAATGGTTATGGAAGATTTATGAACCAGGATTTGTTTCCGGAACTGATGCCTTAAGTAATAGTACTGAGTTAACTCAATTTTGTTGGTTGCATTTTTTGACAATGATTTTGATAATTACATAATTTGTTCAAATAATTCTAGCAATGAAAAAAATAATTCTAATGCATTTGTCAAATTTAATGGTTCTGGAAGATGATACTGCCGTACAAGAGCATCAGCCAAATTTTTATAATTTTCATTTACAATAGATGGCACTGTAGTAAATTGGTCCTTTAGACTTCTTATAGTCTGATCAGGTATACTACAGGCATAATTGTCAACTCCTATAATGTGTGAATAAAATTATGACTAGATAAAATTAGCAACCTTTAAGTTGTGGAAAATCATACAGTACATTTGGAATGCCACCTGGTGCCTCAGCCATAGAAGGTTTTCTCACATAGTGTAAATTCCATTCACTTTTAAAAGTATCAAGTTGTTTTTGAATAAGAGGAGCTAAAGCATATCTTGCTGTATCACTAAAAAATTTGTCAAAAATCATACAATACCTATACTTACATGTGATAGTTATATGATGTGTTAAAGCATCCTTGCATTGTTATTTCCTTTAAGATTCAGATAACGTTAACAGCTATTACTACATACAGTACTTTGAAAAAATTTATCCACCATTCACTGTACTGCTTGCGTAAAAGACTCCAGAAAGATTCTATTCTCTGTAATTATGAATCAGGAATTTAAATGCCAAATAAAATAATAAGTGTTATGTCATAACACTGTATTATATGACATAACACTAGGTATTTGGCATTTAAATACCTGATTCATAGTGGACCGTCCATATATATGACCACTAATGTTTAATTGATGTTGCATAAGAGGTTGAAGAAAGGCAATAGTACTATTCTCTGTGCCCAAGTCGGTTCGTAAAAACCTAGGACACCCTATAAATGATATAAAAATGACTCACGCATAACTTAGTCTAAGAGCTTACCACTTAATTGTTGTACAGCATTCATATAGTACCATGCAACTTGAGAAGGATCATTATTCGACTTTGATACATTTAACCATAAAATTTTTCGAGAATAACTGATTAATTGATATAATATCACACAAATAAAATTAAATATACCCATCAATGCATCCATGAATTGGTAACCCATATGGCTTTAATTTGTCATAACCATCACAGTGCCAAAGAAAGTTAGGCCCCTATATTATAGATGACAAAGTCAGTTTGCATTTATAGGGGTATATACTTTGTTTCTATAAATTCTCCTTTTTAATCTCCTAATTTTTCGCTGTGCTGTTCCTTCTGGATCTAGTGAAGCAAGTAATGCCATAACTGTAGATCTGATTATAAATAATTAATAAAATATATATGAGCTTAAAATATTGACCTTTTTACTGTTAACTGATGTTGATTCCTCAGTCTGTTACACATTGCTCTATATCCAAGTAAAGAACCAGGACCTTTCAGCTCTTCCTATTTTTATCAGATATTATTATAATGAAGAATACAGCATATTCTAACCAATATAACTAGTGCAATGCTATGTAATGAACTTTCTTCACGAGGTCTTTTGTTTAAATTGTTATGTTTCAAAATTCTTTGAATTTGTCTCACACTGCAGTATGATTATAGTCCAGGTTAATATCAGCAAAAAAATTAAAGTAATAAACCTTACCTTAAATTTACATTTATATAATACTGAAGTAGTCTTTGTATTTCTCTTACTGAACATGCTTTTTGTGCCAGACCAACTATTAGCGAATTTCTAATGTTCTTCAGATCCATTTTCAAAAGTTATGAGATGATTGTGAAACGAAAAGTAGGAGAATGGGAGGAACTTTTGCATCCACGTACGTACGTACTCGCGCTCGCGAATGTAGCAATACGAACGTGAACGGGAATGTAGCTACGGAATGTAGCTACGAACGTGAACGGGAATGTAGCTACGAACGTGAACGGGAATGCAGCAATATGAACGTGAACGGGAATGTCGCTAGGGGCTTCCGTAATCTTATCATGAAGTTACGTCAAGCAAAGAAGAAGATGAAAGAAGAAAAAGAAGCAGATAAAGCACCTCAATAATCATTATTTCTAATAGCCACAGACAGCAGTTATGTCTGAATGAGGTGCTCTTGAGTAAGAACTGAATGCAATGGGAGCACCAACAACAACAGCAACAGTAAGTGATGAACAACAAGTCAACAACAGCAGTAATGAGTATAGTATACCTTAAGCCTGCTATTATTTGCGTCTACTAATTTTAGTGAAATCAGCAAAAGCCATGTTTAGCGTTACTAATTTTAGCGTTTTTAATCAAATTAACTATAAATAATAACCATTATAATGAATAATAATTATTTCGGCGTCTATTTAATTTAGCGATTTAAAGCTCTCTCGCTAATATAGCTAAATTTAGTAGACGCTAAAAATAGTAGGCTTAAGGTAATATTTATGCATAAATTTAAGCACAAATTGCTGCAGAGATTTCTAAATAAATGCATATACATGTAACTACTAGCTAAAAGAGCAAGCCAAGATCTAACTTTAAATTTCCTTCCATGCAAGTTCTAAACATAACGTTTTATTGCAAATACATGTAAAGGCGGATTTACAATATGACATTAGGCCAGCGTACCGTCAATTTTTAATCAAAAACGTGGGCGATTTGACCTTTTGACGCATGCTTTCCGCTGGAATAGAGCCAGATTCTATTCCAGCGTCAACGTAACGTCAGGACTAGCGTAATATTGTAAATCCGCCTTAACCGTATATACATGTAATTGTTAATTTACAATTTTCTTTCTCTCTCCCAGTCTGCTCCTGCCCCAGCTCCTACTGCTCAGTCAGAGTACATGATAATACCACCACCAGCACCAACATGAGGAGCACGTACCCGCCCCCAGCCGGGGGTACAACCCCCTCCCCCTCCAGCCAACCCTCCTCCCTCCTCAAGCCGGTTTGATGATTTATCTGACATCTTCTCAGGCAGCAGAGCTCTTACTAGTTTGTACGGGAATCAGCCTCAAGCCCCGCCCCCACAACCAAACCCGTTTGGTATGGCCGGCCAGCCACCTTCCCTATTTCAATTTTTTAAGTTACAGCAATTGTAAGAAAATGCCAACATTTTGAAAAATACCCATGTTTTTTTCAAAAATGGCTCCAAAATGGCTCCAATTTTTAATTACATTTTTGATACACATTAATAACCTTATGATGTGTAGAAACTTTGAGCCAACTCAGACACTACTTTATACATGTACATGTTATTATTGTCTTTACAGTGTAGGTGGTCCACGAGTTGCTAGCATTGGAATTACTAACTGTATTACTGGAAGATCCTATACGAGTGATTATGTTGAAGTTGCTGTTGGTTTTTTAAAAGAGTGCGGACAGAAACTAACACAACTTTCACCACGAGGAGTAACAGGTAAGAAAAATAATAATAAAGTTAAAAATTGCACCTCTCTGTCTCTCTCTTCCTTAGGTGTCTTTGAAAGTCTTAAAGCAATCCTCCATGATGCCAGTGTAGGCATAAGAGTACAGTACATGATTGAGGTGATGTTTGCTATCAGAAAGGACAGGTTTGCTGACTATCCTTCCATCATTGAAGGTCTCAATCTGATCAACGAAGACAATCAAATCACTCATTTGATATCACTGGACGATGAACTAGATGCAGAAGATGATATTAGTAAGTGTTACTATTTATAGACAGAGCATTACATCATTTACATGTTACTGTTTTTATTACTGATAGTACCTTAAGCCTACTATTATTTGCGTCTAGTAATTTTAGCAAAATCGGCAAAAGTCATATTTAGCATGACTTATTTTAGTTTTTTTACTATATACTTTTTAATATACACTAAGCAATGAAAAATGCAGAACAAAACTAGGCAAGCAAACCATTAGCAAGTGTAACAGTGTTAAAAATAATTGATTTCACCACCTTGCAAGTACAGCATGATTTTTATTAAGACTTATAGAGGCTCTCTCTGCCTTGTGATTCTTGTAAAGAAGTCTTTAGACAGTATCTTTATGTTCTCTTGCTGTTAGAAAGCTCATACAGTAACTTTGTCCATGTGTAAGCTGCCATTTTGTTTGCTGTGGCCACACCCACTACATAAAGGAGCGTTGGGGGTGATTGCTAAGGCTTATGAATTTTGTTATTTCTCCAAAACAACATGTATAAAAGAAATGTAAGTGTGGACATACAAATATATATATATATATGCATACAGTACATCGCACGTGGGTGAAATCAATTATAAGAACGACCTGGGAGCTACGCCCCCAGGTCATTAAAAATGTGGGTACTTTGAATATAGCTAGCAGAGTTATAGTAAATTAGTCACAGGCATTAGTTATTTTTTACATCAATTAAGAAGATTTTATATTTCATGTCTGTACACTCCTTGCTGCTGTAGCTGACCATTTGCTGCAAATATTTGCTTAAAACTTCCATTTTTATAGCCACCATTTCCTTCACTGTAACCAGTAACCAGACCTGCCCAATTAACTCTAAATGATAACCTTTGTAATGAATAATAATTATTTTGTCATCTATTTAATTTTTTAGCGTCTTAAAGCTCTCTTGCTAATGTAGCTAAATTTAGTAGGCGCTAATAATTAGTAACGCAGTAGCAAAAATCAACACAAACAAAAGCATAAGAAATTTTAAAAAACAAGATGGAGTAGGATTCTAGAGCAAATTTGTAAAACAAAAGTAACAGAAACAAGGACAAGTAGGATTTCGAACGACCAATGAAAATACGAAATGAAAATCCTACTCTCGTGACACAAATTCTACTCTACATT